ATTCTGTAGATCACTTTGACCTCCTTCAGGGAACCCATTAAGTGTCTGTAATTTGTTTCCCTCATAGCCAATAACTTGAGCCAACTCTTTATGCAGATGAGTGAAATGAATTAGCTAACATAATAAATTTCAAGTCTTCCCTTATTAAATAATCGACGATATATTTTTCGACCATCAGAGGCTTTGCAGTTGAAAAAACATTTTCCTCCGGCTATTTACTTTCAATGGGAACAACGCACTTTTGTATTTGGAAATTTTGTGTTTTAGGGGTCTACAAAATTGAATTGGCTGTAGACGACGACATACGTGGGTGTAAGGAGGCAAATAAAAAAGGCCGATTGATCGCTCATTTTTTATTCAGACTAGGCATCTTGCTGTTGTCCATGCAAAGATTTGCAAGCGACTTTTTCACAAAAAGAAATTAACTTCGCAGCACGCTCCCTTCTTTTCTCGTTATTTGTAAAAGCAGATTTCCCATGCTGTTTGAGTTCCGTTTCGGCGTGAAAAACATTGAATTAATCAGGACCGGATTAGGAATTAATCTCCATTTCTAAATTGGCAGAACAGCATAAGAGAATGAAGGCATTTCGACTTCTTTATTGGAAAGCTACTGTGGGACGTTTTTGTATTTCTTCGGCTGGGTGAGTGGCATTAAATACGGAAATCGCCGTAAGAATGGAACTGTATACATGTGGTGCGTATAATTGAATCAGACACTTGGTAAATTATTTTTTCATTTATGTATACTGATATAATATTAGTAAAGCAGGATCGGCTTCTAAATACGAGTTCAACGATGAATTTAAGATTTTATTGCCGTTTGTGATACGAATTGTTCATAAAAATCTCATATTACCTTTTTTTATGTCATTGATTTGTTTTTGTGCAGTGCTCATGATCATGCATCAGCTATTTTCTCGGTTTTTTTACTCTTTATTTTTTGCGTTTTTGAGAGAGAGAGAGAGAGAGAAAGAGAGAGCAATTTTTGAAAGGAACAGGGATACAACGTAATCCTGGTGTAGCCGTTTTTATTTCCCTTTTTAGCTGTTATTCATGCATCAGCCTCTCCGTACCCTCTTCATCAAAAAACAAAAATCTCACCTAATTAATTCTGTTTGAAAAACAACACAAGAGCGCCTGAAACGACAAACTATATTGTTAAATTATCTCCCAGCTTTTAGCTGCATTACTTCTTCTTTTGCGGATAACGTTTTGCGCCAGTGCTGAAGATATGTCACGTATAATTGCACCTGGGAGTTAGGGCCGCCTTAGAATACAAAAATTTGCAAGCAGCAACTGAATATCCAACGACTTTGTAGTTCTGAAAGTCGGAAAAACACTATAATTCAATAAATCCGATTTAGTTTATGGTATGACGAATTGAAACTTTGTGCGACGCTAAACGTTTACTTTGTGATCTACGTTTCGGAAAATTCAATTGATAGAAGTATTGGTTCTGGCAGCTTAATTACAGCACTTGCTTACGAAAAGTCTGACCGGCACTTTGTAGATTGAGCTGAAGATATTGGATAATTCCAATTCTATCTGACATCAATATGATTTGAGCAAACATAGTGTAAGTTTGCGCGAAAGTAAAAAGCTACCGCAGCAATTTACTTTCTTAATCAAGTGATCAAAGTTGTCGAACTAAAATGATTTTTAATGAATACAGCTGTGCTCCATTATTAATTTTCTGTTAAAAGAAAAAAAAATTTATTAATTAGACACAGTATCAACGGGTCTATCTTCTTTGAAGGCTAGTTATCGGTGAAGCAAGTGGTGAGAATGAAGAATGAAGAATGAAGGTTTTTAATTTCAGTAAATTCAGTGGACACTGAGAAGTACATCAGTTGCTAAGTAAAATACAATAGAGATGAACGTAACTTTAATATCTTTCCTTCTCATTTTCGCAGAGCGGTTGCTGATCTGGATTAATTAGTGGAGACGAAGAGCTTAACTGCACAGCACAGACTGTGTTCTCATCGGAGGACTATCTCTAACAGATTATCGATAAACATTTGGAAACAGTTATCGATAACACACCATGGGTGCTGATGGAAGTCTCAACTCCACCTTGAATGAAACAGCTAATCCTGACGCTTGCCCTGTACATTACGAAACAACGGCAACACAAACCATAAAGACAATGGCTTACTGTGTTATTATTTTACTCTCGCTAGTTGGAAACTCAATAGTAATATTTACAGTGTGGAGAAACAACAGTATGCGAAGCGTCACCAATCTCTTCATCGGAAACCTGGCCGCCAGTGATCTTTTAATCACGTTCCTTGGAATGCCAAACATGATAACTCAGCTTTATCTCGGACAAAAGTGGATTTTCGGAGAGGCCATTTGTAAGATTGTGGTCTTTTTCCAGAGTGTTTCCGTAGCAAGCTCTATTTTGACTCTGCTGGCGATTTCCTTCGATCGTTTCTGGGCCATCATCTTCCCATTTAAAAGACGGCCATCGTTCTTTGCGGCCAGATTAATGCTCGGTGTCACGTGGGTGATTTCTCTGGCAGTAATGGCTCCGTTTCTGTACGCGCAAAGAGTTGTAGTTGTTGCAGATGGGTACGAGATGTGTATCGAAGATTGGGCCCCCACTTTTAACCCCCAAACTGCAGCAAAGGACTACACCTTAATACTCTTCGTGACATTGTACGCCTTTCCGTTACTTACAATGCTCTTCATGTACTCATTCATTGTCTCTAAACTATGGAAAAGGCAAATTCCGGGTTTTCGTTCAAGCGGAGACGAGATCAGAACGCGCACATTGAGGAAAAAAGTCGTCAAAATGCTCATAACAGTGATAACTCTGTTCTGCGTATGTTGGCTGCCTCTTCACGTGTACCTGTTTATAGTTTTCTTCGCCTATGATAAAATACCCTGTTTTGACTCCTCTCTGAGCTTTTATTTCACTTCCCTGTTCTTAGGACATGCAAATTCGGCCATAAACCCATATTTGTACGCGTTATTTCATCGAAAATATCGAGAGGGATTCAAAGCGGCTTGGACATGCTCCGCTATTATCCCGGATGATATGGGTTTTAGCAGGACTTACAGTCGCCGCCGAAGCTCGTCTAATATCACGTGGTTAACAAGATCTAACAGATCGCTGATGATCGACCGTCGATTTAGCACCGCTGCCATTAGCGAAAAACGCCGTCTAAGTGCAGTTACCATCGCCGAAAAACGCCGTTACAGTACGGCTACCATGCCAGGAACCACAAGGAATGCTTTGTCGAGAAAACAAGGCACAGTTACGAAACCTGTCAATGTCTAATCCGACTGACGAACTCTTATTTTTAAACAAATTACTCAGATGGTTGTGCATCTTTAAAAACATAGCTTAGGATTTTTAAGTATATTAAACAAACCGTGCTAACCCCTCTCCGAGTTTTTACAGTACTAGCTCCTGTTTGCTTTTGTTTTACCACTTTGGATTTTTTCTCTCTCAGTTACCAAAGTAACATTTTGTGGTTTTCTCTGATCAGTTCGCATGTCATAAAGAAACGACTCGAGCCGAGGGAAACTAAAACTAATGTAACATTTATAACAGATCACATCGATATCATTTGCACTTTATTTTCCTCTTGCTTAACCTTTTCATTCCCAGGAGTAACCTAACGGAAATTTCTCTGTAATTGTTATGAGGAGAAAGAAAACTATCTACAAGAGGATATTGTTTGATTTTACACCAAATTCTCGGAGATAAGATTACAGGGGATGTATCAAAAACAGTAGGGAGAGTTGATATCCAGATCTTGCGGGTGAGAGGGTTAACTGACCTGACAGATCGTAAATAAATTAATCGCTTGGGTTTGAATATCTAATTCTTCAAGCTCTATAAGCTTTCCGAAAAATAAGAAGTAAGTTTTTGGAACAAAAACCTTTCTTGATACATGCGTAGGATTAAATTTATCATTGTACATACAAAGCGTGGTTTGAAATTACGTTCAAAACAAAGCCTTAGAATTATTTACAAGAATAATAAAAATAAAATATTCAAAAACCGAAAAGCGTATGTCATGGATATCTTTAATTCCTCTTTTTTTCGAAGATTTTCTTGGACAGTTTACTTTGTCCGTCATTTTTCTTACCCTCTTAGGAAGGCATCGAAAATCTGCCCAGCTATTCCTCGTCAGTTTTCCAGATATTCTTCAGACGGCCAGGTTGACAGCAAGATTTTGGCGAGATATTGAACTTTATCCGTGCATTATAACACCTTACTGTGCTTTCCATTTACCAGAGATGGAAGGTTTCTTTTTCAGCTTTTTCATTTACCGATGAGATTCGACTGTCGTAAAACCTCCGTTCTAGAAAGGGAGGGGGGGACATACTTGCGACATAAGTGCAATCCTGTTACCTTTCCGTGAAATAGGCCTTATTTTGTCAGAAAGATTTGTATTTCCCTCATATGCGCCCTTTCTTCCACCATAAGATTCCTCTATTTCAGCAGTATCTTGACACAGATGAAGAGCTCGGCTTACTAATGGTTGATAGCGTGTTGATTTTATTAAGTCTCACGATGCAAACCTTTTTATGACTTTTACAGAAACTACTTCCTTGCTGGAAAACTCATGATGTACTAATTTGCCACAGTTGTAAAACTGCCTCCTTGTTGAAATACACATGATTCAAAGATGAGCCACAACCATGAAACTGATTCATTGTTGAAATAAACAACTGATGCAAAACCGAGCCACAACAGTATCCGTACGTGTGTGCTATCTGTTTAAAACACATTCAAGATACAAACAGAATAAGCTGGTTGGTATGGAATACGATCAACAATTTACTAGCCCCTTGCAACACTGAGCTGGTAAAGCGTCCGAATTTCGACCGCGAGAAGTCTGAAGTTTGAATCGTTATGGAGGTCGGCCCCAAATTTGCTTTTGCCAGTAGATAAGCTATGGCATTTCGTGCAAACATAAACGAAATGTAGTTTGTGAAAATAACCTGACAAACGTTATCGCGGGCTCACCTCCTCCGTTTGGCGGCAAAGAGCGCGCGAAGGTCGACCGCCATTACAAGTTGATTACACGAATGTTTGTTATTTGTACAGAATTTCGATCGACAGAATGAGCTTATGGGTGGATAAATATCGTCCGACTTCCTTATCCAAGCTAGACTACCATAAGGATCTTGCGGCACATTTGAAAAAACTGGTATGCTTAGTTTGTTTATGTACGAAATAATTCGGGCTGTAGTGTGGACGTTCAGAAGTACTTTATTCCTCGCTCGTTGACGCTGAATATTCTCTCAAATGTCTATAACGCTAAAAAGCGACTAATCTCAAGCACTTGGATTCATCCTCGCTTGGTTCTCTCCTGTTTTGCAACGCATAAACCTAATCCAATTGCATGTAGGGTTAAAGTATGGCGGCCAGCGAATTTCGAGGAACATAACTTTTTGTAACATTGATACTCTCTCCTTCCATATCTACCCCCAACGCAAGCAGATACTTTCCCTTTGTGACTTGTTGTAAAATATCACATGCAGTATGTTGTTAATAGAAATACTATTATCTGAAGGTGCACTGTGGAGACTTTCCACATCTATTAGTTTATGGCCCATCAGGGGCTGGGAAGAAGACTCGAATCATGTGCATCCTGAGAGAGCTCTATGGTCCTGGTGTGGAGAAATTGAGGATTGAACAACAGAGTTTCACGGTAAGTCTTAGATGATATGTATATTTCAAACATTATCACCAGCTTGATAGAAAGGATCATTGGCCGAAAAAAAAATATTGCTCACAGTAGATACCTTAACTGTACATGTACTTTTATGAAAACTGCACTCACTACATTACTGGAAATTCCAAAGAATGAATTAGAGAAACTGAAAATATCAATAAAAGGTGGCTTTTCAAGGGAGATACTCAAACAATTAACCAATCTTTATTCAATTTGTGATTACTGTTATCTTATTTCAAAATAGACCCCATCAAACAGGAAGATTGAGATGTCAACTATTGGCAGTGCTTACCACTTAGAAATCAATCCAAGGTAACATGTAATTAGCAAAAGATGCTTCATGCACTGCTGCCTGGTTAGCTCTTGTTGTAGAGCACCGAACTACCTTGCTGCAGGGTGACAGTTCAAGCCCCAGACCAGAACGACACTCAGGGTCTTAAAACTAACTGAGAATGTGCTGCCTTTGTTAAGACATCTGAAAATGGTTAGACATTCTAGTTGTCTTGCAGAAGGATGATAACCCATAGGCCCTGTCTCCTGCATATTCTCTGTACTGGTTAGCAGGGCACATTAAAGAACCTACATACTTATGGCAAAGAGAAGGGAAGGTATCTCCCAGTATTGTGGTTTGGCCTTAATTCTGAAAATGGGAATTCATGTATCAGTAAAAAGTTCCTTCAAAAATTGTAAACTTCTGAATGCAGTCAAGCCAGTCTCCCTCAGTCAGTGTTGTGAGGTACCATGAACCAATTGTTGTGATGTCATTGAAATCCTTTATTATTTTGATATTATCATTATCATTATTTAGGTAAACTGGTGTAATACTGTATGCTTATGAATTTTTCCATGTATTTTTCGGTATCTTGCTCTATTTATGTGCAATTCGACATAAGAAAAGAGAGGGTTTGCACTAGTGTATTTATGGACCTGTTCTCAGTCATGAGAACAGAGTCATTTTACCATGAGCATGTTTGTTTAACTTGGAGCTTTTCTGTTTTCCTCTCTTCCTTTCCCTTAACCTCATTAAGGGCACAGTTTACTAGTGTGCAACACAATTAAGTCTGTACTTGAGCTAAGTGGCCCGTGTGGCTGGAGCTTATCTTGGTTTCCATGACACGGAGCAACTATGACTATTCCTATTGCCCCTAGGATGGGATGTTTGTCCACTGCAAGGATATCTCCCAGCATTTCATCAGGCCTCCCTGATTTCAACAGTACCCATTTGTACATGTACCAGAGTCCACCTCACAAACCATTAGACTACTATATCTCCCCATGACTGCTGAAAGACTGTTTTCAAAAGCCCCTGGATGCTTAGTTGTTTTTTTTCTTCCTTTATTCCTAGAAGAAATGAAATGTATGTTGATATTTTTGTTGTTGATATTTTTGTTGTTGATTATTTTGTGTACAGTGATGCTGGGATTTATGATCGCGTTGTAGTCCAAGAACTTATCAAGACTGTTGCACAGTCACATCAGTTAGATTCAACAACACAAAAGGAATTTAAAGGTAGCATTAACCGTGATTTACCTCACCATACTACTGTATGCTTAATTTTAGTGCTTATTACAGACTCTATTTTACTGAGAGCACCATATCTAGTTTCATTGTGATACAAAGTATATATTTTGTATGTCTTGTGAGATACTATTGTAAGAGTACAAATTTATACAATATATAATTGTGCTCAGTGGCCTAAGCTGCTGATGTTTTGGTTGCCAAGGGTGAAAAAAAAATTGGTGTCTGAATTTACAGTAAAAAGTCCTTAGTTTGGTAACTTGTGTTTTGGGTTTTATGGTATTGTACTTTTAAAGTTGAAGTAAGATTAACATTTTCATGAAACATTATTTATGCAATTTTGTTAATTTTGATAATAATGTGCTTCTTTGTATCTCTGAGTTCATCACATTATGTAACATTGTGCAAAGTAATCACAATTTTTTCTCTGGTGACTGTTTTATAACTTAAGGTCTCCATGAGGTAGCTTCTAAAAGAATACTGAATTACCAGTTCTGTGGGTGTGTATGGTGAATATCATGCTCATCTAACTTTCCTACAATAAAACAACATGATAGATGAATTCTTACAGGTTAGTGTCTTATTTTATTTTCAGTGGTAGTCTTAACAGAAGTAGACAGACTCACTAAGGATGCACAGCATTCTCTACGCCGAACCATGGAAAAGTACACAGCAACATGCAGACTGGTTCTTTGTTGTAACTCAACAAGCAAAGTCATTCCTGCAATTCGCAGTCGTTGTTTGGGAGTCAGGGTGGCTGCTCCATCAGT